CGGGAAGCCCCAGTTCCAGGATTTCCCCTGGTCCTGGAGAGATGCCCACAGCCCCGTCCTCTGCATGACCACAGCTGAGGGTTGTTTCTGTTTAATCTCAGGGACAGTCTCACGAAAAATACTGTCTATGGGGAAGCAGCCATCTCAGAGCCCTTTGTGGTCAAAGTAGATTTTTCACTTTTCTCCAACACCAAGTATTAAATGGACTGAAGGACAAGGGCACTTTAAATACACTGGTAAATGCTGCTTATATTCTAGAGTGCAATAAGACATTTTAAAAAAGTAGACACATAATGGAAAATAACTTATGAAGCTCTCTGTCAACAAATAACATTTTTAATACAGAAAACTTAAAAGAGTCTTCAAATGTAGAGAAAATAACAATTGAGTCAAATGAAGTTACTTGTGCAAAACACAACTGAATTTATATGGACCAACTATGGAAATTCAAATTTTGAATTTAATAACATCCGAAATCATTAAATAGTGATAAGGCTAAAAAATTGTTCATGCTAAAACACCACAATGTGGGACCAGCAGGTGGCCTGTTGGTTAAGGCACTGGACTCCCATATGGCTGTCCACAGTTTGAGTCCCTGACCTGGCAGGTTGAAAATCACGCCATGCATGTGTACGTGCATGCCCCAAATCCTGAGATGAGAATAAAGGAGAAGGGATTGCAACATAACCATCCCCCCTCCCAAAGTGATTTCTCACTTTCCCTCTCTCTGTTTCTCTCTCGCTCTGGCAAGTGTGCACACCCTATGGCAAATAAATAAGTAAATTAAAAGGGAGGAAAAAGACAAAAAAAAATACCAGTGTGTGAAACAAGTAGCCTTCCCCAGAAGCCCTTATGGGAGTGCGGTTTGCTCCTTCTGTTTCATGGAAAGCAAGACATTGTTGAGGTAGGCAGCATAGTTGGTGTGTGTGTATGTTTGGGCATGCGGGCATTACCTGGACATAGTAAAAACAGGACTCATGGGAGGCCAGCAAATGGCATAGTGGTTATGTCACTGGACTCCCATATGGCTGACTGTGGTTCAAATCCAGGACCTGGGTGGCTTGAAAATCACACTGGGCACTTGTGCGTGTGTGCCCAAGATCCCGGGAGGAGAATGGAGGAGGAGATGGGATTGTAGCATGGCCATCCTTCCTGGGGGGTGATTTCTCACTTTCCCTCCACTGTCTCCATCTCTCTCTGGTGAGTGCACATGCCCTATGGCAAAAAAGAAACAACAAAAAACTCTAAAAACAGACTCGCAGTTTATTTTAAGACAAATCTCAACACTGAATGATCATCTGTGCACTACCATAGGCATGAAGTGAAGGGCATTTCTCTGATGTGTGGTTTTACAGACTCACCTATGTCAGCCAAAATTTGTACTCCTCAGTCCTTAGCCAAAACCAAAATAAAGCCGTCAATGTTCCTATTCGAACACCCTGCTTTATGATAAAATCAAAAAAGAAAACATGTATTTCGATGGTGGGGGAGTGAATCAGAGTAAGTTATCAATATTAAAAAAAAAAAAAAACACTAAAAGTTTACTACAACCAGGAAGTCTATGAATCTCTTGTTCCAAAAACAGGACAATTCTCGTTACTATTTAAACCAGTTCCTGTGATCCTGGAGGCTCTGAAAACACAAGAGTGTCTTTGGGAAACTGAAAACTTCCAGCTTCCAGAAGACAGTTTAACATACTTCATATGAGAGACATTATGATATAAGACGTGTCCAGTACTCCCAATAACGTAGTAGGATAATTTAAACCATAATTAAAAAAAAAAAGACCATTTCCTGGTCCTCCCTCCCCACTTTACGGGTGAGAACATGGAGGCCATGAGTGGCTGAGTTGCACAGTGTAGTGACCAAAGCAGGAACCATTTCCCATAACCCAGGGCCCTTTTCCATTACCAAATATGACAGGACTGCCATGTTCACGACATATCTGATCAACACAGAAAATCATCTACTTAGCTGTCCCTTAAGTCAGATCATGTCTCTGACCCACAGGAGACTGCTCGAGCACTTGTTTCCTTTTCGAACAATCCGTTGAGAAAACAGGAATTTCATCCTGGTCTTTGCACTTACCAGCTACTGTCTGAGTCTACTACAGTACTTCAGTGTAAAAGCCAAATGGGCCAAATTCGCTGGATTGTTCGATTTTTTTGTTTTGTTTTGTTTTGTTTTGTTTTCCTGATCATATTTTTCTGATTTTTTCCCCTAACTTACTTCCCTGTCAAAAAAATGTCAAGTCCCCCGGGCGTCCATTTGTGGCAAGTGTGCATAGCGATGCTGAGGTAGCTTGCTGAGCCAAACACCTCAGATGGTTAGATTGTCTCCCCATGTGTTGGTCTCTTATTTTGTCATGGTATATGTTCTGAATTGAACCACTAGAAAGGTGATTGAATTTTTTAAAAGAACTATTTTATTTATTACTACTACTATTATTATTATTTAATTTGGCCAAGGGGGGGGGCGGGGAGTGAGCAAGCAAGCAACCAGGTGTGTCCACTAGGTGGGAGTCCAGCGTCTTAACCACTATGTCACCTGCCAGCCCCATGGTGAATTTCAAGCAAGTGACAGATGCAAATTGCTGTGGGCCAGCCCTGCAGTGTGTTGCTGTGTGGCACGTGTGAGGCGCGTGTGCAGAGCGTGTGCAGAGCGTGTGCAGCCCGCTAGGCTACCAGAGCAGCCAGACCTTGCCACCCACCACAATCCAGAGGCCCCTCAGACCTGTCCCCGCCTTGCCCCGCCTCCTGCCGAGTCCCCCTTCCTGGCCCCGCCCTCAGCCAGCCTGGCCCCGCCCCTCCAGCTCCGCAGCCTTTGCAGGCGGCTCCCCAAGACCTGGCTGGCAAGCAGCTGGCGGAGCGGCTATCCCAGCACATGTCCTCCTGTCCCCCATCCGGGCGGAGCAGAGATTTTCCACACCGAGGGACACGGGGAGGGTGTCCTCGAAGGTGAGGCGCGGCCCACGGAGGAATCCAAGTGGCGGCGTGGGCCAAGCAAGGGCTGGGCTTTGCGTCCTGAAGGCTGTCCCAGCCTCCGCGGCCACCGACTGAGGGCTGGGGGCGCTGCCGCCGCGAGGCTGTCCCTGCTGCGCTCTGATCCCGCGCCCGGGGGAGTCACGGAGCAGCCTCGGACTCGGTCATCCCCCGGCGTCCTGCCCCGCCAGGTCCACAGCCCTCCAGAAAAGCCACAGCGCACCTGCTACCGAGTCGCCGGCAAGAACCGAACTCCGACGTCGGGTCGGCGGGGTGAGTCCGAGTCATACTCGCCCTGGGCCCTGCTGGTACCGAGGCCGCCCGAGCGGCTGCGGCTCCGGTGCTCTGGGGGGTGGGGGGAGCGAAGCCCTGGATGGGGCTGTCCTTGAACTTTCGGAACCTGCTGGGAATAGGCATCTCCAGGCTGTCTGTCCAGGCTGCGGCAGGGGAGCCCCCGGCAGGGGCCGGTGGGCGGGCGCGAGCGCGGAGCGCACGCGGGCGGGCGGCTCCCGGCAGTCGGCGCTGCAGCTGGGAGCGAGTGCCGTCGGTTCCTTACTCCTCAGCAAGAGTCACCCGGCGGAGCGTGTGTGTGCGTGTGCGTGTGCGTGTGAGAGCGAGCGAGCAGTGGAGCTGGGCGTGTGGGGCGCAGAGACTAGGCGGCGACAGCCCGCAGGAGGCGGAGCGGGTGTGGCGGTGAGGCGGCCTCTGCTGGCGGCGGGATGTTGCTCGAATTCCTGGGGCTACTGGGGTTCGCGTGGCGCCAGGTGCGAGTCGGAATCCCAGCTGACCTCGGGAAAGCTGTGCCCTGAGCTAGAACCACCTCGGGCTAGATTCCAGCTAGCGCCTAGGGCAGCCCGACTGCAGACGCCCTCTCTATCCTTTAGCCCTTCTGTGAATTCTCAGCAAATGGAAACGTGCAAGTGTGCAAAAAGTGTATTCATTGGAAGCCGAGGTCAATGACGTGCCCTTATTCATAGTTCAAATTAATATGCGCATAAATCAGAAAACAGCGCTTAAGCCAGAACTGCACCCACATGTACAGGAAGGACTTCAGAAAGTTCATGGGGAAAAGAGGCTAAAAGTACTTTGGTGCAACAAAACTGTGGAATCCATAGTTCCTCCTGAAACACGTTGTCCATGAACTTTTTGAAGAGGGTGGGTGCGTGCTGCGTCTGATCTTGAATCTAGCTATCCAATGCCACTTCTATTTTACGTTCTGGAATTTCTGTCCTGGAGCTGATGACTAGCATTAGGGTCCCCCAGTGGTCTGGAACCCAGACGGGCTCACACGGATGACTCCATGGTTGAAAAGCCCACAGGCGTTGCTCACATCTCCCCAATGTGTGCGTGTGAGGATGGTTTTACGGGCGGTAAATTCCTGGCAGCGCTGACCAAGCACACCACTCCACTTGCTCTGTCGGTCCCAGTTCCACAACTCTTTTCCCTCTCAGCCCTCCCCAGGTTCCTTTCTAAGATCCAAGTTTACCTATTCTCAATTAGTAGTTCTTAAAACATGCATATGATCATAATATTCTTGCGGTTAAAAACAGAGTATAAAGAATTATATGCCAGCGAGTCCAGCAGGTGACATGTGGGTTAAGGTGCTGGGCTTACACGAGGCCAACCACGGAAGTGCATGGGGTCCCAGACTGCGGTATCAAAATCGTGTCCCTGGTATGTGTGCCTGCGTGTCCAAATTCCCCAGAGAGGAAATCTGAAGAAGGGCTTGCGGTGTGGTCAACAACCCCCCTCCTCTCTGATTTCCCACTTTCCCTCCTTTCCGTCTCCCACTGTAAGCTCCGTATGGCATAAACCTAAAAATATACGTATGTGTGTGTGTTGGGGTGGGGTGTCTGTGTATAAACAGGGATTTAATGAAAGGCCATCCTGCGGTTGAAAATAAATGACAGTTACTGCTTGGCGCCGGGAAGGGGCCGGCCTGGACTGAGAAGGTGCTCTTTGGCGCCGCAGGACCGCCGGGCTCCGCCTGCAGGCTGTCTGCACTCCAATTGGCTGGCTCTTCCGTAACCTCAGTAACCGATTTGAAACTTGGCGGTTAAAGCTCCAGTTGGAACAGGACGGTGGGAGACAGAGGAGACGAGGAGACCAGGGAAGGGAAGTTTAGTTTGAGAGGGTACTAAGTTAGGATGAAGGAAGAGGTGAAGCCAATTCCTGTAAAAGTGGCGCTGCGTTGTCGCCCTCTGGTTCCCAAAGAGATTAGCGAGGGCTGCCAGACGTGCCTTTCCTTCGTGCCTGGAGAGCCTCAGGTGGTGGTTGGTACTGATAAATCCTTTACCTACGATTTTGTGTTTGACCCCTCTACTGAACAGGAAGAAATTTTCAATACAGCAGTAGCGCCACTCATAAAAGACATATTTAAAGGATACAATGCAACTGTCTTAGCCTACGGGCAGACGGGCTCTGGGAAAACCTATACAATGGGAGGAGCATACACTGCAGAGCAGGAAAATGAACCAGCAGTTGGGGTTATTCCTAGGGTAATACAACTGCTCTTCAAAGAAATTGATAGAAACAGTGACTTTGAATTTACTCTTAAAGTATCTTACTTGGAGATTTACAATGAAGAAATTTTGGATCTTCTATGCCCATCTCATGAGAAAGCCACTCAAATAAATATACGGGAGGACCCTAAGGGAGGCATAAAGATCGTGGGACTGACCGAGAAGACTGTGTTAGTTGCCCTGGATACGATTTCCTGTTTGGAGCAGGGTAACAACGCTAGGACAGTGGCCTCCACAGCTATGAACTCCCAGTCATCCCGCTCTCATGCCATCTTCACCGTCTCCATAGAGCATAGAAAAAAATGTGACAAGAATAGTAGCTTTCGCTCTAAGCTGCATCTTGTAGATCTTGCTGGGTCTGAAAGGCAGAAGAAAACCAAAGCTGAAGGGGATCGTCTAAGAGAGGGTATCAATATTAACCGAGGCCTCCTATGCTTGGGAAATGTAATCAGTGCTCTTGGGGATGATAAAAAGCGTGGCTTCGTGCCCTACAGAGATTCCAAGTTGACTCGACTGCTTCAAGATTCTCTAGGCGGTAATAGTCATACTCTTATGATAGCCTGCGTGAGTCCTGCTGACTCCAATCTGGAGGAAACATTAAATACCTTTCGCTATGCTGACAGAGCAAGAAAAATCAAGAACAAACCTGTGGTCAATATTGATCCCCCGACAGCTGAACTAAACCATCTAAAGCAACAGGTACAGCAGCTACAGGTCATGTTGCTACAAGCCCATGGTGGTAGCCTGCCTGGGTCTATAAATGTGGAACCATCAGAGAATCTACAATCCCTGATGGAAAAAAATCAGTCCCTGGTAGAGGAGAATAGACAATTAAGTCGTGGTCTGAGTGAGGCAGCTGGGCAGACAGTCCAAATGTTGGAGAGGATCCTTCTGACAGAGCAAGCAAATGAAAAAATGAACGCCAAGCTAGAAGAGCTCAGGCAGCATACAGCCTGCAAACTGGATCTTCAAAAGCTAGCAGAGACTTTGGAAGACCAGGAATTAAAAGAAAATGTCGAGATTATTTGTAACGTGCAGAAAAGGATTACCCAAACATTGGATGAAATTGTTGCTTGCATGACTGTAACCACCGATACTGCGGTAGAACCAGAAGTTCAAGTGGAAACCAGTCCAGACACTAGCAGGTCTTTTGATGCTTTCACCACTCAGCATGTTCTTTGCCAAGCTCAGATGTCTAGGGAGCTGATTGAGTTAAATAAAGCCCTTGCACTGAAAGAGGCCCTGGCTAGAAAGATAACTCAAAACGACAGCCCACTACAGCCTATCCAGTTCCAATACAAGGATAATATAAAAAGTCTAGAATTGAAAGTCATCAGTCTGCAAAAGGAAAAGGAGGAATTGGTTCTTGAACTTCAGACAGCAAAGAAGGATAACAACCAAGCTAAGTTGAGTGAAGGCCATCGCAAATGTCTCCTGGAGCTGGAAGGTCAAATAGCTGATATGAAGAAGAAACTGAATGAACAGTCCAAACTTCTGAAACTGAAGGAATCCACAGAGTGTACTGTATCCAGACTGAACCAGGAGATATGGATGATGAAAAGCCATAGGGTTCAGTTAATGCATCAGATGAAAGAAGATGCCGAGAAGTTTAGACACTGGAAACAACAGAAAGACAAAGAAGTAATTCAGTTAAAAGAGCGAGACCATAAGAGGCAATATGAGCTGCTAAAACTTGAAAGAAACTTCCAGAAACAGTCCAATGTGCTGAGGCGTAAAACAGAGGAGGCAGCAGCTGCCAACAAGCGCCTCAGGGATGCTCTCCAAAAACAGCGGGAGGTGGCAGACAAACGGAAAGAGACTCAGAGCCATGGAATGGAAGGCACTGCGGATCGAGTGAAGAGTTGGCTTGGAAATACAATTGAGGTTATGGTCAGTACAGAGGAAGCCAAACGCCATCTGAAGGATCTTCTTGAAGACAGAAAGATACTGGCTCGAGATGTGGCTCAACTGAAAGAAAAAAGGGATTCTGGAGAACATCCACCTCCTAAACTCCGGAGGCACACATTCTCACTTACTGAGCTGCGTGGTCAAGTTTTGGAGTCAGAGGATTCTTTTACAAAGCAGATTGAAAACCTAGAGACTGAAATGGAGCTCAGGAGTGCTCAGATTGCTGACCTGCAGCAGAAGCTGCTGGATGCAGAAAGTGAAGACAGCCCAAAACAGTGCTGGGAGAATATTCCTACCATTCTGGAAGCCAAGTGTGCCCTGAAATATTTAATCCAAGAGCTGGTCTCCTCCAAAATTCAGGTCAGCAAACTTGAAAGCAGCCTGAAACAGAGCATGGCCAGCTGTGCTGAGATGCAAAAGATGATGTTTGAGGAAAGGAATCATTTCGCTGAGACAGAGACAGAGTTACAAGCTAAACTGGTCAGAATGGAACAACAGAACCAGGAGAAGGTACTGTACCTTCTCAGCCAGGTGCAGCAAAGCCAGATGGCAGAGAAGCAGCTAGAGGAGTCAGTCAGTGAAAAGGAAAAGCATCTGCTGAGCACCCTGAAGTGTCAGGATGAAGAACTTGAGAAGATGCAAGGAGTGTGTGAGCAAAATCAGCAGCTTCTCCGAGAGAATGAAATCATTAAGCAGAAACTGATCCTTCTCCAAGGAGCCGGCAAACAGAAACCTCATCTTCCTAAGGATACCCTTCTATCTCCAAACTCTTCTTTTGAATATATACCACCTAAGCCAAAATTTTCCCGTGTTCGAGAAAAGTTTCTCAAGCAAACCATAGACATGGAGGATCTAAAATATTACTCAGAACATTCTGTGATTGGTGATGGTGACACTGATGATGGGGATGATGAGGAATGGAAGCCAACAAAATTGGTTAAAGTGTCCAGGAAGATTAGCCAAGTGTGTTCCTGCAAGGGCTGGTGTGGGAACAAACAGTGCAGGTGCAGGAAACAAAAGTCAGACTGTGGTGTGGATTGCAACTGTGACCCCACAAAGTGTCGGAACCGCCAACAAGGCAAGGATAGCTTGGGCGTTGTTGGATGGAACCAGGATACCGAAGGTTCCTTCACACTAGAGGATCCAACGGAGGTGACCCCAGGATTGAGCTTTTTCAATCCCATCTGTGCTACTCCCAACAGCAAGATCCTGAAGGAGATGGGTGGTACCGAACAAGCGATATTAAAGAAGGCTCCAGCTTCTTCCTCCTTGGAGCTCCTGGAGTCAAAACATGTAGTAGCCGAATCCCAAGAAAATAAGGGTCCAGAAAAGAAAAAGAAGCGAGCTCTGGCCAGCAACACCAGCTTCTTCTCCGGCTGCTCCCCTCCTGAAGAAGAGGTCCACTAACGTTTGAGTTTTTATCTCTATGCCCAATCTGGCTTGGAAGATGCTCTCAGGCTGAAGCTGGGAGGGGTTTTGAATAACTTTTCTGAATTTCAGGTTTCTTGTTGTTGAAAAAAGGAACACAGTATTACTGCTACAAAGGGAATTTCTGTTGGATGCTGGCCCCCAGTCTCCAATCCTACCCCCACCCCCCGTCCAGTTACTACTGTCTCTTCTCCAGAGAGTTGCCAGGCCCACCCACTGAAGAGAGAAGCAACTGACCTTCCTAATGATTCATCAGGAACCAGTTAACAGTATGAGCTACCCTTATTTGCCACCAGTTAAAGCTGTCTTCTGATGGAATGAGGCCAGACTTATCTTTAGGTTGTAGCAGATTGGGGTCCATTCTCAGATTCTTCGCCCCACCTCAGGAGTGGGGTTAGGAGCATTTCTGCCGTGAACGTGGATTTCTAGTGTTTAAACAGTGCCCTCAATTAATTATCTTCCGTTTTTCTGAAGTAAATGAAATATTTTTAAATGTTAAGTAAATAAATAAACCTCAGCTCAAAGAAAAAAAGAAAGCACTGCTTAACACAAGATCATCGTTGTTTGCAATAGGCTTCAATTAGGAAACTATTACAAAATTTGTTACTTGACAAAACTTATGTTTACTTATTTTTTGTATTTCTAATATAAGTATTATATCTTGAGTTTCTTCTTAATACAAGTTTTTTTCCCAAGATTTTTCAGGAAAATATCTGAATTCAGATAGCAGTACACAAGGAAAACAGATAAAACTGAAACTGGTTAAAACATAAATTCAGGAGACCAGCAGATGGGGTAATGGTTATGTTACTGGATTCCCACCTAGTCAACTGTGGTTTGAGTCCCGGACATGGTGGGATTTTGATTCTACATTTAAGTGAGATCCTGCAATACTTATTTTCCTGAGTCTGGCTTTTTTCACTTAACATAATGTCCTCCAGATTCATCCATGTTGTCACATATGGCAAGATTTCCTCCTTCTTTAAGGCTGAGTAACATTCTATCGTGTGCATGCGCATGCATGTGTGTGTATGTATAAAACACCTTCTTTATACATTTGTCAGTGGATACTTCATTTGTTTCCATACCTTGGCTATTGTAAAGAATGCTGAAGTGGGGGCCAGAAGTTGGAGTTGTGGTCTAGCTGGACTCCACAATTTGAATCCTGGACCTAGCAGCTTGAAAAACACACTGGACACATGTGCATGCATGCTCAAAATCCCACAAAGAGAATGGAGAAGGGCTTGTTAGCAGGGTTATCATCCCTGGGGAGTGATTCCTAACTTCCCCTTGTTCTCTGTCTCTGTCGAGCACATGTACCCCATGTCAAAAATCTACAGGAAAAAAAACAGAAATGCTGCAGTGAGTATCAGAGTGCAGATAACCCTTAGATACTGGTTTCATTTCCTGAATATATACCTAGAAGTGGGATTATCACTGCTGTGTTTTACAGTAGTTCCATTTTTAATTTGTTGAGGAGCTTCTATACTGATTTCCATGGTAGCTGTATCAATTTACATTACCACCCACAGTGTACAAGGATTCCCTTTTCTCCACATGGAGCCAACACTACCTGTCTTTTTTATAATACTCATCCTAACAGACGGGAGATAGTGCCTCGTGGTTTTGGTTGTTTTGTTTTGATTATGAGAGACTTTCCCTAAAGGCTGTGTGCATTTGCCAGAGAGACAGACAGAAAACAAGAAATCACCCCACAGAGAGATGGCCACACCACAATCCCTTCTCCTCCATTCTCCTCTTGGGATTTTGGGCATGCACACATGTACACCTGGTATGAGTTACAAGAGGCCAGGTCTGGGACTCAAACTGTGGTTGGTCACATGGGAGTCCAGCATCTTAACCACTACACCATCTGCTGGCCCCTCATTGTGGCTTGATTTGCATTTCCCTGATGATTAGTGATGTTGAGCACTTTTTCATATACCTATGGGCCATTTGTCTTTTTTGGGAAAATGTCTTTTCAGATTCTTTCCTCATTTTCAAATAGGGTTATTTGTTTTCTTGCTATTCAGTTGTTTGAGTTCCTTATATGAGGGGACTTCAAAAAGCTCATGGAAAATTGTATTAAAGCAATTTTATTTTGTGTAAAACATTTTTTGAATCAATGCACAGGTGTTTTTTATAATATGCATTTATGGTGAACTTCTTGAAGAACTCCATATATTTGGTAAATTAATCCTTTATCAGACAGATGGTTTGTAAATATTTTCTCCCATCCCATAGGCTGCACCCAGTGTGTTTCCCAAGCTGCCTGATCTGAGACTTGAATTGTGTGGTTGGACATGTGAGCGCTGCCTTCCTTAACTACCAGACCACAAAGCCAGTCCTGGTTGCTTCTTCACTCTGTTGATTATTATTTTTGCTGTGCAAAAGCTTTTTAGTTTAATGCAATCATCCTGCTTGTCTATTTTTGTGAGCTTGTTATCAGGTGTGCTGATGGTTGTGACTCTCTCCCTGACCACTGGGCAGGGCAGAAGTGGACAAGGCAGGGGATCAGCAGTTGGCATAATGGTTATATCGCTGGACTCTCATGTTGTAGACCGTGGTTCAAGTCCTGGACGTGGTGGCTTAAATTTACTCCAGGTGCATGTGCAAGCATGCCCAATATCTCGAGAGGAGAATGGGGGAGAAAGGGATTGTGGTGTGGCCATCCCCCCGGGAGGTGATTTCTTGCTTTTTGTCTCTCTGTCTGTCTCTGTTTTTCTGGCAAGTGCACACACCCTATAGAAAAACGTCTCAAAAAAATAAAATAAAATAAAAAAGAAGAAAAGAAGAAGAGGAGGAAGAGGAAGAAGAAGAGGGCAGGGCAGAAATGTCTCCAAACTGTGGTAGAGCAGAGCTACAGGCACATCACAGGGACACTTCAGGGTCCTTGGCCAGAACTCAGGACATCAGGCTGATGTCACACTGTCTCAGCATCAGCAGAATTGACTGCAGATCATGTAAATTGACAGCCCAGGTGGATGCATCTCCCACCTGGTCCTACGGTAGGCAGAACTGATCTAGTAGACCTAGAATCAGGTCAAAGAGCTACTTAAGGATCTGCAGTAAAGAAAAAGTTACCTATAAGACAGGACAAGGCATGGCTTCTCTCAGGTCCAGTGGTCTGTACTGCTCCTTGTCTTACACAGGACTCTGTCCTGATTTTTAGAAATATAAGGTAAGAGAAGAGGAAATTGTTCATCCCTTCTAGCATTCACCAGTGAGAAAGATGCTACACTACCAAATCTTAGTACCTCTTTTCGTTTTGAAGTATCGTCAAATGTCATTTGATTTATCTGATAAATTGATGAAACAAACTCTTACGACTGAATACATCAGGTCTGCAAGAATCACGGAGCGGTGGGAGCTGCCAACTCAGCAATGTGATGTAGCAGCATATTAGATGACATTGCTGCCTCGAGAGCATTTAACCCCGCTGCTGTGGAACGTGGACTGTTAGCAGTGTGTAACTGAACTGTTCCCCTGGTAGTTGAGGGAGCTTTTGGGTGTATATCTTTTCCTTCAAGGCATCTCAGTCAGTGACTGATTCCAGTGTCCTAAAGTCCATTTCCTTGACTCTAGGTGGGAAAACTGTGGAGTTGCTCACATTCCAGAAGTCCATGTACCATTGTGTACAGTATGTTGTTGTTAACCGTATTCTCCTGTATGTTATAACACTACACACTGTTCTATCTACAACTTTGTTTCCATTAACCAATATTTTGCTATTTCTCCACCCTGCCCCTCCCAGCATCTGGTAGTCATTCTGCATCTCCCTCCTATGCCTTCATTTCTTTTAACTTCCACATGTGCCAGAGAACACAGGGTGTTTCTTCTTCTGTACTTGGTTTATTTCACTTAACATTATGGCCTCCAGGCTCATCAATTTAACCTCAAATGATGAGTACGTCCTTTCTAATGCTCACTTTGTATTTTATTGTATATGTAAATATACAATAAATTTTGAGGGTGTATTCTCAGGTAAAGCCTTTCAGAAGTAAACAAAGCAAGATAGGGCTGGGGAGAAAAAGTTAGTCAAGTGTGGTTTAGTTTAGCTGTCGGCTGACAAACGGCTTTCGTGGAGAAATATTTGCCTATTTCTATAGTGTAAAGACTGCCAACATAGTCAACTTTAAGTTAAGTTATCCACAGGACATCACTGAAAATGGAGTTTTTATAAAACAAATGTTAATAGTAAGCTTCAGTGAAAGCTGATACCAAGAGACCACTGATTTAGGCTGGTTCAATGGGGATTTCTGACTTTTTTCTAACTAATTGTTCTTGACATAATAATTATTACAATAGCCAAAATGTACAGGCAACCTAAGTGTACTTCAGCATATAAATGCATAAAGAAAATGTTATTGCTACACCCCACACATACACACTCACACATAAGCACACATACATATATACATATACAATCAAATAGAAACACACACACATTATTTCAGAATGTTTCTAGGGAATCTGGCCTAAGAGAGGTACTCCCTGTAAACCACATGCTATACAAGGACCAGCAGTTAGCATAATGGCTGTGTCGCTGGACTCCCACTTAGTCGACCGCAGTTCGCGTCCTGGACCCGGTGGCTTAAACTCACGCCAGGTGTGTGCATGCATGCCCAAGATCCTGAGAGGAGAATGGAGGAGAAGGGATTGCGGTGTGGCCATCCTCCCGGGGGGGGGGGTGATTTCTCACTTTCTGTCTCTCTGTCTCTATCTTTCTGGCGAGTGCACGCACCCTATAGCAAAAACCTCCCCCCCAAAAAAACCACATGCTATACAAAATATTTTTCGTAATTGTTTCACATATTTCTCAGTAATCCTATTAGGAGATAATATTCTTTTTTTCTAGAACACAAGTAACCATTAGGTAGCTTGTTAATTGTCTCCAAAGCTTAATATATAGCTTGTCTAATATATCACACTCTGGCCAGAAAATGCAGGGAGAATAAACATCCAGTCCATTTTGCTCTTTAGGCATGACTTTACATAAAATTTTCAGAGTTGATTCTCTTTTCTATTTTAAGTGGGCAAAGATTCTAATGATGAAAGTAAATAAGTTTACGCACACATGACAGCCATTTATTGATGTGCCATGAGTGACATCATGTACTTAGTTCTGAGAAAGATGATTTTGTTTTCTCCAGTATTCTTATGCTTTATCACGACTGTCACTGAAGTTTCTCCAGCATCTCGTAAATACTACCATTATGTGCAAACACTGTGCTTGATCTTGTGGTTGAGAAAAGAAGCTGGTTGCACGTCTTCCACACAGACTGTACTCATATTAGGCACCATCCCAAATATCTAATCTAATCAGCATTTTAGAGTAAAATGGTTCTTTCTCTGCCTTTCAGGTTGACAAAAAGGAAAGGGGATAGCCATTGGAGCTATTTTGTAAATTTAAGTTTTAAAAACAAGAAAAATGAGGGACCAGCAGTTGGTGTAATGGCTATGCCTCTGGATTCCCACGTAGTCAACCGTGGATTCCCATGTAGTCGACTGCAG